GGAGGTGGAGGTGGAGGTGGAGGTGGAGGTGGAGGTGGAGGTGGAGGTGGAGGTGGAGGTGGAGGTGGAGGTGGAGGTGGAGGTGGAGGTGGAGGTGGAGGTGGAGGTGGAGGTGGAGGTGGAGGTGGAGGTGGAGGTGGAGGTGGAGGGAGCTAGTCGTCGGCAATGGGTGCAGGCGGGTGTAAGTAGGTATATGTCGGCACTTACACGCGAATACGTAAGATACTACAGGAGAGAAGAGACGGAGAAAGAGACGTCGAACGTCCGCGAGGAGGAGGGAGACGAAGCTAGAGCGAAGGACCGAGAGAGAGAAGAATAAAGAAGAAGACGAAGAGGAGGAGGCCTCCGCCTCGACATATATGCGGTGAGAACGCGCGCCTCCTGACTCAGTGCTTGACAAGCCAGCAAGCTCTTAGGATCCATCGGGTTTCACCGGCACGGCACGCTTCGCCAGCTGTCTGCCACTGCCACGCGAGTCCTTTCTTCTCCTCTGCGCTGTCTTCTCCTTCCTCGCGGACCATCACCTGTGTGATTCTTCTTTTCCTTCCGGGGATCCGTTTGTTCTTGGTTTGCCGTCTTTCGCCAATTTAGCGACCTTCGAAGGGTTCGCACCGGACCGAGCTTGGGGACCCGGAGAACCCGGTCTGCCGGAAGTAATTGTTAGCACTCGGAGCGGGAAGAAAAAGGAAGATACACCTTACGGGGAAGGACCACCCCGAGAACTCGATACATTGGCAAGGTGGGGAGGTTAACCATATACAAGTATAAAGGAAACGGAGATCGACGCGATACCACCTTGCACCGGTGCCATGATACGTCACCAGGATACGTTTAGGGAGACGCACGGTGTACCGGTAAATAGTGTATCACGAGCGCGCGCGTGCCGAGATTAAAGTTCGCGCTGGAATCGGAGGTTACGAGGGTTCACCGGACCGTTTCGTTTTGAGAAGGACACCGAAAAAAGACATACAGATAAATCTCGAGAAACGGCGAGCGAGAGAGCATCGCCCCCCAAGTGCAATGTGATCTTCGGGATGTCCTTCTGTGCTTCTAGTGAGTGACTATGCTAAATGATTTTTTCGTGGTGAGCAGGGTAAACGAAGGCAGTGGACCGAACAGTGGACTCACTCTTGTCTCGAGCATACGTTTCCATCGTTGCCACGCACAGTAGACGTCGGGATATTTTCACGGGACTTTTCCTAACGGTTCGTTTTCTGGTCGAGTCCTTGGTCCGATTCGTGAATACGGGAGGGCGGCAAGGAAGGAAGCGAAACTGGATCGCGTAGATCGCGATCGTGATCGAGGCTGGTCGCCTACTCCGGGTGATGTACCGGCTCCTGGACACGGTGACGAGCTGCGCGTTCTCTGCAGACGGAAGCTTCTCGGCGAGGGTACCTTAGGATTTCGTAAAATCAAGAAGGTAGTATCGCGGGATAAGCGGCGTAAAAAGAAGCGAATAGCGGAAGAGGAGGAGCTGGAGGAGGAGGAGGAGGAGGAGGAGGAGGAGGTGGCGGAGGAGGAGGAGGAGGAAGAAGAAGAAGAAGAAGAAGAAGAAGAAGAAGAAGAAGAAGAAGAGGAAGCTAAGGCAACCGAAGCAGTCGAGGAGCCCCTAATCTACGCGAGATAAAAAAGAAGATAGTAGCTGCGGCCGGGTAGCTATCTCAGTCAGGGAAGGAACAGTGCAGGAATCGGCAAGGTGCAAGCATGAAGTCGAGCATCTGATCGTTCCCGAAGAAGGCCGATCGTAACTGATCTGACTAAGGGTGACCTTGAGCAAGATGGTCAGGAGGGCGCTGCTACTGCTCTCACTGGTCCTCCTCGGTGCCTTCGACGTTCCTGGCATCGAGAGAGCCCATGTCAGATACCTGGCGATGGCTGGTAGCACCTGTAACGCTTGCAGGATGCACGAGGAGATCAGAGCCCTCAGTCTCGAGGCCATCAAGGAACAAATTCTTAATAAACTGGGCTTGAAGCAAGCGCCGAACATGACGGGCAGAGCTCTGCCGAGAATCCCGCCAATCTCCAAGTTGATGGACATGTACGGGATGCAGGCCGATCAACCGCAATCTCTAGAGCCTGGCATCACGCACCACGAGGAGATCGACGAGTACTCCGCCAAGACGGAGAGCGTATTCGCCTTGGCACAACCACGTAAGTCTACGATTCTTTCTCTTCTTCGTCTTTCTTTCAGGAAATCGTTGTTTGTACTCTTTCGGAACAAACCGTGATACCTTGATGCACGGTACAACCTTTGCAAATAGAATAATACTTGTCGAATCGTCGTACGTGCAATTCCTCGGAAATGCTGGTTTAGATTAACGAAGTAAACAATCGTACCGCGGATGTTCGTTTACCTTCTACTTATCGAGATTTTGCTCGACGGTGAAAATTATCGCGATGCGAGCGATTAGTAAAATTTCGCAGAAACAAATTAAACAGAAAAACGATGTTTTTCGATTTGTAAGTACGTTTGGAGATAACAAATTACGATACGACGAATCATCGTACGCGGCAGCTGCCGTGTTTTTCCTTGGCAGCATCAACCGAATTAACCTTCCCAACCCGGCGATTTATCTGCGATGTCGTGTAACTGCAATTTGCAACATTGTAGTTTAAATTGAAACGCACTCGACCAGCGAATACTTCCTCCATCGAGCGGCGAAGCAAAGTTTTTACATAACTCGCGGATAAAATAGGATAGGGTAGGATGCGTCTAATAGCTGTGCAAGAAGATTTGAGTTTTTGTTCAATCTCTTTAAAGATATCGACACAGGAGTCGTTTACTGCAAGAATCGATTAACTCCACATTTTTAACAAATTTTAATTGTCAAAGCACTTGGTTGGTCGTAACATTTTCTATTTCGTCGCATTTCTCGACTTTTTCTTTTACGAAGTTAATCGATTCGTGCAATGAACGACTCACATATGTGTACATTTCCTTTTACATCAAACTTATCGTTATTTACGACCATAATAGCTGTCAAGATTATAAAAACTATAGAATATTAAAGCGAGATTGTATGTTAAAAGTGATTTACAGATAAAGATGGGTCCGGCTTACGTGTCGATTCGATTAAAGCAAATCAGAGTCCATCTGAAATTCGTTTCTCAGGAGGTTAAATTTGTTTCGGTTTCGCGAAAAGATGAGGCACGGATAGGATAGGACAGGACAGTGTAGGGTGCGTCTAGAGTGGCGTTCGTTCTAAATTCCCCCGATCGAACCCTTTCGTTGGACAGAAAAATATTCCGGGCTTCCTCGCTCCTTCGTGGCGGGGTTCTTGAGCAACCGGCATCGATTTGAAATTCGATCTCGCCTTCAGGCTTCGAGGGCTACTCGCGATGCGATAATGGGCCTTATTGAATCTCCATAGCTCCCCGCCAGGCAAAATTGCTTTATACATGTATAATATTGAACGGGGTGTCCGCGAGGCGAGCCGCCTCGCTTCGCGGTTAATCGTTCCGTAATTTGCGGCGATCGTTCTCTTAATTGGTCCGCACTTTGGACACCCGGTTAATAATACACTCACTTTCCATTTCGGTTCCGTGCCACGGAATTGTATAACGACACGATGCCGATAGCTGGAAGGCTGCAGGATGAGTGAGAGACGGGAACGTATGTATGCAGTTGTTAGGGTCCTTGGGGGTTCTAGTGTAGTCCATTAAAAACTAGATATTTTGGAATTTATTAACCAATCAGCGTGTGGCGTCCTCTTTTCAGAACGGGCACCTACACTCGACGTAATAAGGTCAAATTTGTTAACGTCAATCGAGTCTGTCCTTATGGTCTCGACCGATAGAGATTGATTTCGTGTTATTCATTATAAATATGATTATAGCCGTCTTAAAGAAAAAAGAATCGAAAGGAAATTGACAAAATAGCGGTACTTTGATATAATCGGTAAGAAATACTCGTATGTTAAAGGACCCACAAGGAATAAGAATACTAACAAACAAAAAAAATCTATTTTATAACTCAGAAAAAGAGGAATACACCCTAAAGGCGTGATTGTCTTGAGAGTTTTCGACGTGAACCGGGAGTAATAGTGGCGTCGTTGGAGCTTGTAACCTGTGATTAACCCCCTCTGGTCGCTCGAAAGAAATCAGGGGCTTCCCTTGAAAACAGCCGAGGATCCGATCGTACGGTCGGATGAGAGCCCGATGATTTCCGACCGATGTTATATTTAATAACCGATTTATCCGCGATCGTTGCTTGACAGGACACGCACGGTGTACATGACGGGCCTATTTTACGCTATATTCTCTAAGGTGTCTCGCATCGTGTGATTACAAGTGGACGGATAAGTTACAAGCGTGTCGTGACTTTCGTGAGCTTTTGTACCATCGCGTAATTGCACGGCCATTGTCGGTAAACCCGCGGCGATCTTTGGCTGATGAACGAGTAGTTATTTTGAATAATCATTATTTATTATAGTGGTTCCATAGTCATACTTGACAGTGTACGCATACTATTCTCTTGTGGGATCAATTAATTGTTCAAGTATATCTGGGAGCAATAATTACGGGTTAAATGTGTTTGAGTTTCGAAAGTTCCGTCTGTGATCTCGTTATCGGTTAGATTAGCTGAAAAGATGCAAATAAAAATAAACAGCCGATAGCAAGGTCGGCGTTTATCATCCGACGAGTGTCTCATAGTAAATCGCGAGAAGCGTGCGGCTCCGTTCGCAAGGTACCAAGCACCGGTGTCGAAATCTGTAAAGCAAAGAACAGGAGGGAATCGTGGTAACACGAAGGGAACGGGACGAAAGGCGAACAAGCATCAAATTCGTTCAGGGTTATCGCCTTGGGCGACCTATATCGCTCTTCGAACGCCTCTAAAACTCTAAACCCGTTGCAGGAAGATCTCTTGGTATTTCGCTCGCGCCAATTTTTTTCCCTCTCATTTTCCTCCCATCTTTTCGGCCGCCTACCTTTTCTATACTCTGCTTTCTCCATATGCGTGCATAGCTTGCCAATTCCTGCTCTCTTTCTCTCTTTCTCTTTCGTTCGCTTGCCTTCTGTCTACCTATCTAGTATCTCTGCTTCTGGCTGTTCGAGTCTTCCCTATCTTTCGACTCGCGTCTCTTTTTTTCTTTCGTTGCCTCTCGCGGACATCGACATTCCTCTTCTGTTCACCTAATTTTCGTTTTTTATACTGTGCCATCGAGCCAGCGATCTTTTCCACTCTTTCGTTCTCTTTTCGCTCGTCAGTTTTTACCTCGACGCCTTCCTTTTTCCCTCCCCTCACGCGTCCGTTTTCTTTCGGGCTCGGTGTAGTCTCTTTTCACGAATTCCTCTCGTCCTTTCTCCGTATTTTTCCCTCCTCCCCTATCCCGATCTCTCCTTCGTTGAAACGACCGTCGATTTTTTGTCCGTCGTCCTCGAGAGATCGATCGATCTTTGCCTCCCGGACGCCGCCGCGCCGCGCCGCGCCGCACCGCGCCGGTCGATCGCCTCGCTCTCGACGCGTATACGCGTTCGGTGCACGAGCTTGTATCGTTGTATCGTATAAAACCACCAACCGTTTGCTATTGTTTCTGTCGAATCCTCAACTTTCGATTATCGTTGAATCGACGAGCACGTAGTCGCAGAAGAAATGCCAATTGGATGAACAAAGTTTAGTCGTCTTTCGAGGGGTTTTACGCCACATTAACACTAGATTTACCAAGCACACGTTCTCATAGGCTGACGAGATAACTCTTTGAGCCAGGCACACGATTATAAAACGAACAGAAGAACAGTGTCAACTTGCTAACACCTTTTCAATTGTATATGTTTACTGATTCTACTTATTGTACTTTTAGCGTTAGTTAATATGTACTATTGCCACACGAATGAAAAACTTTAAATAAAATGGGAAAGTTCAGCATAACGTGGAATAGTAAATAGTAGTTTATATTTAGTAAAAAAATTACAGAAAGAGAGGGTGATTCCACTTTTTCGTGACACTCGTAGCACATATATACGTATATCACATATTAACGCGAAAAATTCCTCGTTAAATTCATATTTATTTTGATTGTAAAATGAGTTGAACGTGTCATTTGAATATCAATTGCACATCAAAATAGATACTTTAATAAGCATCTTGTTTCATAGTCGAGATTTTTGGAAAGAAATTCTCGCAGGAGAAAATCGTTATGCTGTGTTTTCGGGTGTATTTTTGGACGAGGAATCGTTCTCTCCTCGGTCGGACCTCGAATCACGCGACACTACGTGTATACACACGAATTTCCAAGTACACACGAACGACGAACCGGCCTCGATCCGCTTCGAAGGTCACGGCCAGTGCACAGCCTAGGTCAGGCCCATCGCTCATTATCGCGTTAAAGCTGTCTCTGGAGGTGACAGGCTGCTGTTAGAACTCCCATAATTTTGGACGGGACCGTGGCTGGTCGTTTCGGTGTGGTTTAGTCACGACTATCGTATCTACCGTTTGTTATTCGACCTCGTCCTTATCGTGGGCGGACCTCGTCGTGTCGTTTCAAGTCTCGCTACATAATAATAATCAGTTGTTCGGTTAGTTGTTGTCAGCGTCGTTTGCTCGCCTAATCGTACTATTTTTCTGTTCATTTTAGAAGGTAAGCATCTGCGTAATGGTGTCGTTCGCGTCATGCATTTGCCGCCGCTGATGAACGTCTGCGTAATTTTTCGTAGCTGGTTATCGCTGACATTGATCCGTGATATTTTGTATTTATTCATGTATTTGATTGAACTTGAAAATTTGCAAGAATTGAGATGGTATCGTAAAATGCCACCATTCTTATCTTGTACGGAAAAATACTGAAACATTGCAGAAATTGTGGGTTTTACCGTACCCTTGATCGCTATTATTAAATATTTGGACAACCAACCTGCTTAACCAAACAACAATCATTAAAAAGTAAAATGCTGTTTCTGATCGGCCAGCAAATTGGGGTGAGTAGAAACACTGCTTCAAAAATAGATACACTGGATAGTGGACTTGCTGGACTTTGCGAGTATACGAGCCTTGTATGATCGATCGTTAAAAGTGATCGCTGCTTTTACGTATTTTCGGCTATAATTTCATCTATACTGGCACGTCCATTATCAGCGCTGGTAAGGAGGCATGACAGTTGGCACAAGGGAATAGATTTCTGACGTTGATCGCTCTATATTTCAGGAAACACAGT